ATCATATTCACAAAGAAATCAATATCCACTTCAAAAATTGCATACCAATTTTCAAAAATAAATTCATAACCAAATGAAGCTTGCTTATAGATTAAACCCATCATTCAAGAAGATTCAATCAGATTAAATAACCCAAAAGGTCAAGTACGGCATTGCAGATGATAGACGGATTCCAACTAAACCATTATTTCTTGAATTTCAAAGGTCAAATGTCATAATACGAAAAACAACCACTGTTACATCTTTAATATTCCCACAAAACCATTTAATCAAGATAAATTATGCAACCATTACCATAAACTCATTGATAAATAATCAACAAGGAAAAATGCCGCTTTGCCAAACAAGTAATTTGTTATTGAAGATGCCCCTTCACAATTTTTGAGATTTAAACAATTTTTATGAGGGAAAAATGAAAACTTGTCTTATATTGATCATAAGAACACAGTCGAGGAGGACGAAACTGGTCGCTAGAACTTTAGGGCAAAAGAAAGTGCTTCAAACGAATCTTCCCTTAGCTCGGCAAATGATCACAGAGGAAAAAAGCGAGCCTTCGATAGGAAATTAACGGCGGAGAAGCGCAAAGTCAGTTGTGCTTCAGGCAATTTGTCCTTCGAACCTTTGAGTTTACCCAAATGTATTTAAATCTTACCTTCTCACTGAATTGGTAAACTTCACATCAGAAAACGACGAAAATCAACACACATATTAGGGAAATGGAAATTATCAAAACAAATTAGATCTCAAAGTTTATGTTCGAACAACAGTAAATCTTACCTTTTGAGCGACCCGATAGATTTTGCAACACAAAACAGACAGGAAATGAACAAAAACAAACACAATACAAATTAGGGAACAAGAACACACAAGTGAATATGCAAAAATTTCTGTGAGAGAAAGTGAAGAATATGAAAATGCAATTTCTAGGGTATCTTTCTTTGACTCGAAGACGGATACAAATGGATGGAAGATAGAATACAAATAGTGATAGGTCGCGGGGGTCGATGGAACAGTGGGGACTCAGGGGGCAACGCCCCTGACGGGAATCGACCTAAGTTCAGTAAACGGTTTTATAATTTTTATTAATGTTTTTGAATTAAATCATTAATAAGTGAAATTGTATTTAATTTGTGTAAAATGTAAGTAAATTGTATCACCTAAATTTAAAAATAAG